CGGTTGTTTGCATCACCTAAAACTAATCAAGTAGTTTTAGGGTTTTATATACATAAATAATCAGGGTGAAGAGACGAATTGAAATCCGAGTGACTGTCTGTTTGTCCGTCCGTCTGTACAAGCTGTAACTTATATAAAAATTGAGATATCTTTATGAAAATTAGTGCACAGGTTTCCTGCTATCGTAGGACGGTTCGTATTCTAGATGGGCGTAATCGAACCACGCCCAAAAAACACCATGAATCAACAGCAAATAAACTGCTATAACTAAGCCCCACAATAAGATAAAATAATGTTATTTGGTACACAGGATCACATTAGGAAGGGACATCTGCAGTTCAAAACTTTTGTAAAAACTGGGCGTGGTCCCGCCCCTAATAGGCTTAACACGATAAATCAATTGATAAACACGCCAGGGACAATAAATTTTATCTCTGGGATGGCATGGGATGCCTTTTTATAGGAACACTGTTCAAAGTTAGACAATGGGCTCCCTCTTTTAGGTGAAACCCTGGGCTGAAAAATTCCGAGCACGGAATTCACCATTTCGGTGGTATTCGCTGCTATTTAACAGAAATGAGAATTTATAACAACGTTCCTTTGCAAAAGTACGTATCTACCAATGCAAAAAAAAAATATATTTTACTTTTTTATTAATTTTCTAATTATTAATTTATGTACGTACATATGTACATAATCTTTACATTCGTACATTGCATATCCTAGGAATTCCCTGAGTGAGAAAAGCAAAATGTAGCATAAATGTGAAATGTCGACGGCAAAACACAATTTTGAACTTTTGCGACTCTAAAAATAAATCATGTACTTGACACCAATATGGAGACACAAAAGTACAGAATTGCGTTTTGCGGTCGGCATTTTCATATCATGTGTAAATGTAAAAAAATATGAAAGAAAAATATTTGTAAATATCGTAAAAATTCGTTTCGTTGGAAAATCGTCGCAAAAAGACGCTTGTAGGCAAACGCATGCTCGGGGAGATGTGTAAGGCGTTTGCTTTTATGAATGAAACGACTTAGCTTATTGCATGTGTGCCAGCGTTCATGAATGAAAATGTTGTTGTTGGATTGGTTGTTTGGGATTTGTCAATTTGGCTGCTATGTTGATTTCTGACGCTGCATATGCTATTTGAGAGAATTGTTGATTTTGTATAACCAGAGAACTTAAAACAATGAGAAGGTGCAGGTTCGACAGACAGATGCACGAGAAACAAATAACATTTTTCGCTTTTATAACAGCGGTGAATCTGTACACATACGCTCTCTTAACATAACCAACCGACGAATATTGAAGAGAATATAATATGTGAGCATATTGATATGCCATTTGAAATATATTCCCTTTTATTGAACTATTATTTATTTATTTTTAAATTATTTTATGTTAATTCATTTTTACTTTATTATGAGAAATATATCAAAATACTTTTAAATTATTACTAATAAAGTATTTTGATATATTTCTTAAAATAATTCATTAATTGTACTTGACACCATTATGGAGTCATAAAAGTACAGAATTGTGTTTTGCCGTCGGTATTTCACATTCATGCTTCAATTTTTCTTTTCAAATGCATGTGTAAACATATGTAACAGGACATACATATATTATGTCGTTTACACATTTGTATGTATTAGTTGTAATTCAATATCTAATCTAATCTAATAAACTGCATCTTTGGTTTTGGCACTAACCGGGATTGACTGTATTTGTCAAAGAATTTACGTAAGTACGTTCGAATTTTGTACACATACTTGCACTTGCCCAATATGCGATGTATGTTTGTAAGAGTGTGTATGGCACATCTCGGATTTTCACCAACAACACAATGTGTGCTTGTCGTCGCGTCAGTTCTTCGACAGATTGACTCTTTGACATATAGCAAAATGTGTCAACGAGATTTCACATGAAGTAATGATGTACATAAAATACAGTTAACGCCACCGCTCACACATAGCACTTAACTGAAAAGTAAACATAATAGTTTAATTGAAAAGTAAGCTCTACAATAGCAAAATATCGGCAATCACTATTTGTAAAACAGATTTCGGTATTAAATTTCAATAACAAAATCGCAATCCAATAGACTCAAGGTTAAAGAATTTCATCAAATGATGAACTTCATATTAAATAAACAATAATAATGAAGTATAAATAGGCGTAATTGTAAAATAAGTCAGACTCTTTTCTGTAAAAGGCGTTCTGGAAAGATGACAGAATAAAGTTGAAGCAACAGCTTAATTTGCTTTTTAAAACATCTCGCGACTGGGCATAAAATAAGTTATATTAATAAAATGTAAACGACATATATATGTATGTCCTGTTACATATGTTTACATGCATTTGAAAAGAAAATTGAAGCTATAGTGAAATACTGACGGCAAAACACAATTCTGTACTTATGACCATATATGGTGTACAATACATTAATTATTTTAAGAAATATATCAAAATACTTTATTAGTAATAATTTAAAAAATATTTTGATATATTTCTATAATAAAGTAAAATGAAATAACATAAAATATTTAAAAATAATAAATATAGTTCAATAAAGGGGAA